TCATTGCGATGGAGGAGTAAAAAAAAAACTAAATTAACAGGAGCTATACTTTTTGACTTAGGAATCCATTACAAATAAAACATTGCACGAACGGTTGAACTTAATGTCTTCCAAATGCACGAACAAATTCAACTGTAGCTGGCAAATAAGAATATAGCATTCGTATCCGGTGGGAATTAGAAGGCATGATGTATTGAATCTAGAACTTCAAAATAGTGAAAAGAGAATAAAGCACAATAAGTAGAGCTCGTGGAACGTACGTGATGAACTAGGCAGCTAAAAACATTAACGCTATAATGTAAACGTTAACAATCAATTCTCGTACACCAGTGCCAGCGTAGTGCAAAACTCAGAACAACACAGTGACATATATACATTAGGAGAACCATAAATAATTCGAGGCGTTTTCACTCTCCTTTGAAAGCTGTTTTTCTCTACTGTCGCCAGTTCAACTACATGGAACCACGAAGGTCCAAGATATTTTTGCTACGCCGGATCGTTAAAAGTCAGCTGTTTTATGTTGTTATTTTTTTTCTACAAAACTGAAATAATGCGCAAGGCTAAAAAGGTGCAAGACATTTATGAAAAAGCGATAATGGTACTGATGGCGCACGGATGATGCCAAACTAATTCTTGTGGCATTAGAGATTGAGAGGAATGGAATACCCGTCACAACGCTGTGCGATACGCGCCTTCGCCAGATATGTATTTTGGCCAGGGTTTACACGATGTGCAATAATAGCCTGATGACCACTACGCTCACACGATGCGTTATCACTATAATATATTAAGCTGCTGCCTACCCTACGGCTAACAATATGACACTTTACTGTGAAAAAGCACACTGGTATTGACCCTTTCTTTTATCTCCCCCCCCCCCCCCCGGTCCAATCCTCCCAAGCACTCCACCAGAATAAACAACTCTCATGACACGCTAGTCTTTTGATTACCTTCCAGAGTATTTACATTTTCAGAGGTGTGAAAGTACAAAAAAGACAGGGACGAAGAAGACAGAAAAAACTTTATCGGGCACTTGTCTTCATCGTCCTTGACTTTTTGGCACTTTTTAATACGTCTCAAATTATGAGCAAGCTAGCTCAATTCAAATTTCTAATAAAATTCTATTTCCCCGGCTACCACGTGATGACTGGAACCACTTACCGAATGAAATTGTTGAATTTACAATGTGTAGCAATATTTGGTTGACGGATTTCCGTTTTTTTTTGTGGATGAGTTGAACCTTTTACGTTTAATACAATATATTTTCTATGATGACGCAAACCAACAAAGTCGTCGGCACTGGGCCGCCAACATGGGTGCCAGCACTGCCTACCGCTACACGTGCCTGCTCCAAGCCACCTCAACCACGAGGACGAGCGAAAAGAGATCCTCCTGCGACACCGGACCCCCGCTTTTCTGCCGCGATTCGAGCCCCCGCAGGACCCAGGACGTGAGCGAATGAACGGCTCCTTGAGGTCTTGTCTGCGAAGTGACTTCATTGGGAGGAGATCGGTTGCGAAAGTGGAAAACTCTTCAAAGTTTAGATTCGGCTTAGACACTAAATAAGTGAAGAAGATATAACTATATTGGTTTTGTTTATATTGCTTTTTACAGCAAGGTCCATGCGAAGAGCGATTTAAATTGTCTTCAACGTACATAGTAACCCATGAACAAGGGGGAGGGGGGATGGAACGGACAGCAAAAAACGTAGGATTTTTGTGATGTCCGTTCGTTTTTTCACCCATGCGCTCGGGTTACGATGTCTGTCTTAAACCACATTGGCTGTAATCTCACTTTAATTAGAATAGTCTTTGACACTATATATTCTGTTTCAGATTACCTTCTTATGTTGGGTTATATTCTCCATGCTCATGATAATTTTCGTTAAGTACGAAGAGCTGTTTTACCATGCAATCGCCTTCCAGTGAGTGTGAAAGCGTGAAATGCTTTATAACCGAAGCCCTCACCTGAGAAGTTAGTCCGTCTGTGCCTCCGCGGATACCCCATTGACAGGGCATGCCAGCACAACTGTGACGAAACCGGACGTCATGTGCCATTCTGCAGTCAAGTCACCGTGTCATATGACGTCCCTTCACTTAACACAGTGTAAGCTTACACCATGACGTAAGGTCACAATGTTACAACCGTGACGTAACGTGACCTTGTCGCGTGACGTAAAATAGTCAAGTCGTGGTGCCACGTCAAGTCGCATCACGTGGCACAGAGTAGCATAGAGGCATCACGTCACGAAGCCTGACGTCGCATTCCATGATGGAGTCAAGTCATTGTAATATGGAATGAAGTCACGTAACGCAGGGTAAAGTTACGTGGTGACGTCCGGCCACATTGTTACAAACGTTACGTTGCATGAGCACGTCGCGTGACGTAAGGTCACCTGGCGGCACGATGTCAAGCCGTGGTGTAACCTGTCGTGACGTAACGTGTCACAGTATAGCGTAACACTATTGTTGAGGAAGAGATCCCGGGCACGTCCGTTTCGATGGTGTCGGTTTATCGTTCTCTCTCGTGCCGTTCATGATCTCGTGGTTCTGTGCCCCTCTACCTCCTTTTCCTCTCGTTACCTGCTACCAGATGGCATAATCTACAACAACTATGACGCCATGTAATTTGACGTCCTCCTACGTTCCCATTTGATGTGTGGTCACGTGCCACCATTCTTTGACTACCTGACTCACATGACGTCATAATATAACAGGACACCGCAACTTGACACTGTGACGTCATATCTTGTGACCACACACGAAACTATTTACACCCTTAAGAGTTTAAAAACGGTGTACTGCAGATTCGTACCAAAGGTTACTTCATTTCAGAACCCTAAGTTCAAATTAATACACCCTTTTCAATCGTACATGTTGGTGTTTAAAACACTCCAATTTTGAAGGGCGTAAAAAGGTTGTGGGCAAAACTGAAGTGAGTCAAGCACGCTTTCTGAAGTATGTTCGCCAACTGACACCAATTTTAGCGAGATTATTTTAGCGACGAGCTCGAATAATTCTTGGCTTTAATGTTTTTTTTTTTTTTTGCTGGAGATACATTCCACGAACTAAGATATATTCTGTCTTACGCTAAATATTGATAAAAACAAAGGTACATAAGTGTAATTTTCGTAATTGAGAAGGTAGTGCATCTGCGATTGTGATTCTTTTAAACTGTCGAGTATATAAGACGTTGGAGCGATCACGAGGGTCAGGGTTCCTCTCGTACGCGATCCATAACTTCAGTGTCTACCGTTTTTTTGTTAATGGATAACTGTATGTAGTGCTTGTTGGTAAACGTGGTGCTCGTAACAGCAACCTACTCATGTGAAACACAGTTGATATCAGTCCTTCATAAGCTAAATGTTATTCTTGATCATTCCTCATAAGCCGATTGCATCTTTTTAGACTTTTCAAAAGCCTTTGATAAGGTATGTCATGAGCTATTACTCTATAAATTGCACCAACTTAACCTTGATCCAAAGCTTCTTATCTGGCTTGAATGTTTTCTGATTGACCGCTCGCAGTTCATCGTAGCTAATAATCATCTCTCTCAGTCGAGTGGCGTTCACTCCGGTGTGCCACAAGGCTCTGTGCTCGGACCTCTTCGTTTTCTTATATACATTAATGATCTACCCTTTTGTGTCTCTTCCCATATTCATTTGTTTGCCGATGATTGTGTTGTATTTAGGGAAAATAACTTGTGAAAATGACATTAACACGCTCCAGTCCGATCTTAACGCTATTTCTGTTTGGTGCAAAACGTGGTGGATGAAATTGACCATTAACAAATGTAAATTTATGCGCGTTTCCAGGAACATTTTTAATCTACCTGTTTACCATCTTCATAACTCGCCCCTATACTCTGTGACTAGTTATAAATATTTTGGTATTCACATCACATCAAATCTCACTTGGACAGTTCATATAACATATATAATTAATAACGCTAACCGTATGTTGGGATATCTTCGACGTAATTTTGCAGAAGTTCTCTCATCTCTAAAACTTTTACTTTACAAAACACTATTTCGTCCACAACTACTCCGTTTCAGTCTGGGATCCTTGTCATGAAAATCTAATTCACTCACTCGAAATGGTCCAGAATAACTCTGTTCGCTTTATCTTGTCCAACTATAACAGAACTGCGAGCATAACCACAATGAAATCCAGCCTCGACTTACCGTCTTTGTCATCTCGTCGTAAAAACTTTCTTCTTTGCCTCTTGCACAAGTTGTTTTATCACCCCCAACCCGGCGCCGAGCTTATTTTATCTCCCCTATACGTTTCATCTCGATCAGATCACGTCCATAAGGTCGATGTTCAATCGTGCAGGACTAATGCTTTTTTCAGTCATTTCTCCCACGCACATCAGAGGAGTGGTATCGCCTTCCCGTACCAACAGCTTCAATCGAAGACTTCCTCCTGTTCAAGAACGCCTTAGCCAATATTATATGAATAGCGCCATTTTTTGCACTTCTAGTAACTGCTTTCTTTTACTTCATCATCATTTATTTTTGTAACCACTCCCCTCTTCAATGCCAAAGGCCCTGAAGCTACATGTAATAAAAAAAATATTTGAAGGATGCTGCAAAGATGACAAGCATTTTATTTTTTTAGCATTTTCGGATGTAAAAGTACTTATTGACGTCAGGTTCCGTAACCTCAGTTAATAATCATGTCCTTTACTCCACGAAAAGACTGTTAAATGTCTTCTAAACAAATTGTATCGCTCTTCAAATACTGCATTGCACAAACCACGTAATTGAAGATAAACGTTCTTATTAGTTTTTCCATCTGGAACACTTTATAGACGCTACCTTTGCGCAATATATATTCATCAGCTGACATTATTAGGAGATAATGGAATTAGCTACAACCTACTTGATAACTTTAATATATTGCACGTTAAGCAATCATAACTCTGAGCCCGCCAAACAAAACACTAGCACTCATTTTGTACAAAAGACACTTCTATTCCAACCATAAATGCTTCATAAATTATAAGTTAACACTGTAGCTTGTGCGTCTCTCTTTCCAGATAATAATAAAGAACAATATGGCCATAATAGAGTGAACTCCGCCCACGGCTCTGTACAAGTTGTCGTAAGCCCCCAAGTAATCGCGGAAGAAACCTGCAAATCAAACAAAAAACCAGGATTGTATCACTTCTGTCCAAGAAATGTAAATATTCTGTTCAAAGTGTTTAAGCTAGATTCAACCAAGACTTAAAAAAGCTGGTGCATGCTCTGAGTAACGATTCAACGCAGTTGCTCACAATCTTATCAACCAAGTCAAGGTATATTCTTTTTTTATTGCGATGTGCCAAAGTCGGTTTTTAGAAACAATTAATACCCTAACTTTTTAAACATAAATTTCTGTTCAAACCCTTGAATTCATAAGTTGCATAGATTGTTAAATAAACATCCCATCGTGCCGTTTGTATAGTGAGTGTGATTTTTTTCATGGATTAAAGAAAGTGAGCGAGATTAAAATCAATGCCATGTGACTGAGGGCTATAACATCGCATATCGTTTGCGGGTAGTCACGTGGAATTGTGTTAACTATGACGCGTTTGTTTCAAGCTCTAGAATTATTAGACGCAAAGAAACAACCTAGATGAAAACGAAAAATAAGATTGTCTTTCAACACGCTCTACAATTTCCGCATAAAAGGCGGTTCGCAAAAATATTATTTAAGAAGTTAATAATTAAGTTGCGTAAATTAGTATGGCAAACCGCAAAGAACAAACAAGAAAACCTTGACTTGTTTGACTTACATTTGGTTTGACTTACATAGCTATTTAAATCCGAGGCAAGTTTGGATAGGAGTGCTAAGGCTCCTGTACAGTCGATGAAAACCCGAGAACAGACCCAAGGACCACACAGTGCTCGTGTCCCATCTAAGATCCGGTCCGGCGTCCGGTAGGTGACGTGAAGAATCCAGCAGTGCGGCATTGTTATTTGGAGGGTCTTGGTCACAACAATGTCGCGAAAAAATATTTATCTTCAAAGCTGGGGCCTTAAACTCGTCGAACACAAAGTTGGAGCCGAAAGTTCCCGGAGCACGTCGACTGGACGCCGGCGAGAAAAGCGCGAAGTCATCGTCAAGATAGTACAATCGGCGCGTTCCGCGAACTTCGTCCCCAACTTTGTGTTTGACGAGTTTAGGGCCCCTGGAGTGCAGCTCTAGAGGACCATTCTTTAAAATTAAAGCAATGAGAAACGCGAGCAGTTTCTTGCGTCCCTGTCCGCGCTCCAGGCTCTTACTACGACCGTACGGTATTGCTATGGAGCTCAAAGTAATATATTACGCCTATTAAATTCCAATGGCCCATCTCAAGATTCTCGTGGTGCAAGGGTACAGTAGACCATGTTTCAGGACCGGCCGTTGGTGTGAGATAGAGCTATGAAACACACGGGAAGTGGGATAGTGCAGTGTCAAAGGAGACTACATGACTGGCCTACCCGAGAGCATTGCTAGGGACTGGCGGATATGGAAGACAAATACACAGTAAATCGGACGTCCAAGCATTCCTTCACTTTGGTCCTACGTTGCCTTTTGAGACAACCTTGCCACACACTGTATCTTTATGTGCTTTTCTATAAAGCGCACGAAAGAGAAACTTTCTGGCTCGAGCACCTAACCTTCACAGGTGTTTTGCCCTCTTTCGCTTTCCTGTTCCATCGTTTGGTTTAGGGGACAACATAAAGTAGCAATTGTGGGAGAAGAAAGATCTTGAGGCACTTTGACGTCGTTTGGTATAATGTGATAGAGGTGGCTTTTGTAACATAGCTAAGAGCGATCTGTATTTCTTTGTGCTAAAAATCTATTATTGCTTTATTTATGAACTTCTAAAATAATTGAGATTCGTTAACTTAAGCGCGCGCGGCTTGACCAATCTCTAGAAGTATCATGCCGCACGTGTCAAGTGAAGGCAGAACTGCGTTTAAACAATATAAAAATGATAGATGTTGTGAAGCGCACAAATTCGGGGCTACCTATGTGCTTTCGAATTTTGGTGTCTTCGCGTTTTATAGAACTAGTCATATTAGTATCATTTGAAAAATCATAAATTGGTTGGCTTGAATAAAAAAAAACATACACCGGCGCGCGGGATTGACGGCACTGAGGTGTGGCGACGCTGCGATCGCGCCGGATCTGCCAGGCGGGCGAGGTGTGGGAAAAAGAGCGGGAGCTTTGCACGTGCGACGCAGCATTTCGACAGGCCGAAAAAATGTGTGGCTATTGGTTGTGCCGAAAGGTACTCCAAAGGTAGCGCGATAAGCTTCCAGAAGTTCCAGGCGGATGCTGACAGACGCAGAAAATAGGGAGTTTTAGAGTAAAGGGCCCACAGCTTTGGGTGCCCCAAACAGCTTAGGGCGTCCCACTGAGCATGCGCAAAACTTCTGAGCATACCCATTGCGATGCCCCGAGCTGTTTGGGGCAACCAAAGCTTTGGGACCCCCTATTCTAAAACTCTCTAATGAATAACCTGCGTGGGTCGAAGATAAAATGTTCGCCTCGCACGGACGAACGCTTGTGTGGTAAGCCTTCATTGAAGGTGAGTGCATAGCTTCCACTGCAATCGTTGCTTCCAGCACTGAGGCACTCTTATGCGTAGGGTATGCCGCCCAAATGTTCGTCGATTGCTCGCTACACCCACGTACCGTAAGGTGCAGCAGCTGCCCGCTGAGACGGCATCACCTTGGCTTGGGCAGTGCACAGCGCGGCGCCTTAGTACAGAGCTTGCCGTTTCATACCGTACGCTTGTGGCGTAAAAAAGTGCAGTTCGATTCTCAACACGAACGTTTCCCGATATATGTTTGCACGCATAGCGCCTCAACCAGTTCTTAACAGACGAAGGATGTGGAAGTATTGTGTCTGCGAAAAAACCAGAACATTTTTGCTGTTGTTTACCGCCCACCAGATGGTAGCATATCGGCATTTTTTGAATTTTTTTAATCATTTTTGAGTTTTATAAACGAGGGTCATTATAACGTCATTTGTGGTGGTGACTTCAATATAAATATGTTTTCTGACAGTGCCACGAAAAAGGAAATGGAGAGCCTGGTTGGCGTCCACGGGTGTATTAATACAATCACTGATCCCACCAGAATTACTTTGCACTCAACAACTGTTTTAGACTTATTTATAACAAATTATCACCTAGATAGAGTAAAAAGTGGAGTAATTAGCTGTGACCTGAGTGACCATCTTCCAATATTTTTACAGGTGCAATATAATCTACGTAGGAAGGCAATAAAAAAACAATCCATATTTATTCAAAATGTAGAAATCCACAGCCTCGACGCGTTTCGACGGGACGTAGCAGCTATAAATTGGGACGCCGTGCTTGAGCAAAGTACTGCCGATGATGCTTATAACACATTTCTAGAACTGGTTCTTCAATTGTATAGACATCACTTTCCTTATAAATACATAAGACAATCCAAAAAGATTCGAAAGCCGTGGATAACCTGCGCCATGTTCAAAATGATTCGCAGAAAAGATGCTCTATATAATCGATTTATTAAAAACCGCTATCCAGACGCTCTTCGTGTTTTCAAGACTTATCGAAACAACCTAAATAAAGAACTTAAGAATGCAAAAAAACGTTATTACTCTTCCCTTTTTTCAGCATCAAGTGGCCGCACCGATGTTATGTGGAAGCATTTAGGTTCTTTGGTAAAAGGTGCTCCTGTGTCAAACACCATTGAAACGTTACTGTACAAAGGTGTTTACGTAACCGGTAAAGACTTAGCAAATGTATTTAATGATCATTTTGTAAATCTAGGTAGCACTGTCGATGGTTCCGACTCCTGCAAATATATTCAGCAAAGGAACTGCAATTCTATTTTTTTAGAGCCAATTACCAGCACAGAAGTTAGAAATGTGATAATGCAGCTAAAAAATAGTGCAAGTTGTGATGTTGATAAAATGCAAATTGGTCCAATTAAATATGTCATTGATATAATTGCTCCCGTGCTAACGTATATATTTAATCTTTCTTTTGAAACTGGTGTATTTCCTACACGAATGCAGATAGCAAAGGTGTCTGTTTTATATAAGAAAGGTGATAAAAATGAGCTAGGCAATTATAGGCCCATTTCTATATTGCCCGTTTTTTCTAAAGCTTTAGAGAAATTAATCTATCATCGTTTAGTAAACTTTTCAAACAAATATAATCTCATTACCTCTTCTCAATTTGGTTTCCGGAAGGACTGTTCTACTGAAACAGCGTTACTTACCCAAAAAGAATTCATTTTGAAAAATTTTGAAAACAAAAAAATAGTGCTAGGGTTATTTTTAGATTTCACGAAAGCATTTGACTGCCTAAGTCATCATGTCTTATTTAAAAAACTTGAAATGTATGGTATCCGTGGACAGGCACTGTTGCTTTTGCAGTCCTACTTGCAATATCGTAAACAATTCGTATGCATCAATAGTAACTCATCTACGGTAAAACCCATCACCTCAGGTGTTCCGCAAGGAAGTATTTTGGGACCCTTTTTTTTTAACTTATACGTAAACGATATTGTTAACGTTAACAGGGAAGCAAAATTTGTTAACTACGCGGATGATACTAGCATATTTTTTTCTTCCGAAACAGGTGATGACTTAATAGATATGGCCAACCACACTTTATCAAAGATAAATTCCTGGAGCGATTGTAACTCTTTAAAGGTAAACATTAATAAAACAAAAGCAATAATTTTTCGTCCGAAAAACAAGTCTGTGGTTTTATCTAGATCACAGAGTTTAAATTCTTGTCCAATTGAAATAGTTAGTTCCTTCAAAACTCTTGGCGTATTTTTTAATGAGAACATGTCCTGGGATTGTCATATAAATTATCTTATTCCAAAATTATGCCGAGTAATTGGGATCCTAAATCGCAACCGTTCTTTTTTGCCCACGAATGTTAAATTGCTAGTTTACAACTCTCTATTTTACTCTCACTTAATATACTGCCATCTAGTATGGGGCTCGTCGACACTAACTAATATGGAAAAACTGTTTTTGTTACAAAAAAAAATATTAAGAAGCGTATGTAATGTCCCTTATGATGCTCACACTTCTGAAATATTTAGAAATTTTAAGATAATTACTATTTACAAGTTATACGACTATAGACTATGTGCTAGTTTCAGGAGGGAAAAAATAACGGGCTCATGTTCTTTAGTAAACCTTGCAGGTTTACAGGAAAATTCACCAGCATATCCCACTCGCGGAGCGGAGAAGTGGAAGATGGTCACTCAGCGAACGAACTATGGTCTCCAAATGCTTCAATTTGCCCTGCCACGCTTGCTAAATAATTTTTATATTGATGGTGTTGATTTTGACTCTAAAACTTCTAAAGAATTGCGTTTGTATTTTTGCTCCTGATTTGTACCTGATTTTTATTTTTCTGTTTTATTTTGCTCCATTATTAGGCAAGAGTGTATAGTTTTGTAAATTTTAATAGTTGCTTTTTATGTTTGTCTATTTGCTTCAAAAAAACAGGCAAGTGCGTAGTGATGTATCTTTCAATTGTTAGCTTTTGTGTGTATTTTTTTTATTATATTTTTTTTTCATTTTTATTTTCGATCCGTTGCTGCTGACCATTGTAGGGACCCGAGGACCAGTCAAGCTGCATATCGCAGCTTTTTTCCACGGGTCCCACCATCACAATCGATGGAAATAAAATTTATTATTATTATTATTATTACTCAAAGTAGATGTAGGCCTCGAGATACTTGTACGTTTGCACCGTGTCGGCCGTGAATTAGCTCGGCGAAAAGACCAGAAAGACGACAACGCGCGTCATCGAGGTTAGCGGCAGCATTCTCGGCGGATTTGGCGTCGGAGCGCAGGCGCTCCTTGCTCACGGCGTAGGGATCCTCAAAGGCAACGCCGTCAGCGCAGTTTTTCCCTGTATCGCTGCTGATCGGTCTCGGGCAGCGAGCGCCAATAGTCTGACATAACAAACAACAGAATACGACACAAAACAAAAGCTAGAAACGCCGCAGCAGTTTCGCTTAGCGAACAAAACAGCCCGCTTCGCAATGGGAAAAACACGGCGAGAGCGGCCGCTTTTGCCCACACCCCTCTTGCGCATCCGCCGCTCTCCTGCCGTGCTTGTAAACAGAGCGCGCCGCGCGTCGGTGTATAGAACATTCGCGTTTTAGGAATAAAATGTGTTTCTTATACTCACCGAGAATTAAAGGATTACAAAGAAATACCGGAAGAATCGCCAGTCCAGTGAACCCGTAGGAGGAAGCGTAGAGATCTTGCTCGATGTAGTTAGCAATCAGTACGACCTTCATGGTGAGTAGACAGCCGATGCCTATTTCAATAAAGGCACACAAAAGCAGTATGTATTCGAAAGAGGGCACACATGGCAATAAAGCCATGGCAATCCCCAACAAGACGTAGCACAACATAACGAGCGCGTTGCGTGGCAGGCAGCCTTTGTCGGCTAAAAGTGGCAAAATAATACGACCGCAGAAGTCAGCAGGGCTCAGGTACATTATGATAGTTGAGGCCTGTTCGAGAGATGCGCCCCTGTCTATCGCAAAGTCCACTATGCTCGTCAGGTACATTATTTGCGAATAATGAACTGTCACAGCGACGGCACACACAAGGTAGAAACCAGGTTTTCTAAACAGCGTGAACACGTGCCAAATGCCCGTAAGCCTATGCGTGTTCCGAGCGGCTTTTGATGTGTCCTCTACACTCGTCTTTAGAGGCATGGGGTATGTAGGGTGCCTCTTAACTTCGCAAAGTTGGATGGATTTGTTCATTCCGTTCCGGTTGATCCAGGGAGGTCGTTTGAGCAGAAAGCAGAAAGCGGTAGTGTTCAAAGCTATTGCTCCGTAAATAAAAAATACGCTGCGAAAGTTGTAGGCATCTTGTATGAGCAGGAGCACCCTTGGAAACACGAGCGCACAGGCGGTTTCTCCAGCGAACATGATGCCGCTTGCCGTGGCCCTGTACTTGCCGAAATAGTCCAGAATCGTTATGCAGAGGGTGACGTTGATCATACCCACACCAAAACCTGCGGTGGAGAAAGAGCATTCAAAGAAAGTTTTCGCAAGTTAACAAGTTAAATTATGCTTCTGAGCCTCGATCGATGTATTAGCGCAGAATCCGTTTAAGTGCTGAATTCTATGATAAAAGCGTTACGATCGAGCATAAAAAAAAACGGTATACGAAGATAAGGCAGAGTGCATTCTTCAGAAGAATCGTGGGCTTTTGTAACTTCTTAAATATTAACCAAACACAAGTATTGTATGCATAAATGTATACAACAGTAGGAAGCACTTCGCGTACCATAGACTGCGGAGATAAATAAAGTAACCATTTATACACTTTAAAAAAAAGCCCGTACATCCGCTTTCCCGCACAACCTCGGAGAGCCAGTCACGGCAATTTACGAAGGCAGCTCGGCGAATAACGATGGCGAAACATATGTTTAGACCAAAAAACTCAGTCTGAGTTGTGACATTAAGCAATGCAAGCGTGACGTTTTGCATGGCTTAATGTCACAACTCAGACTACGTTTTTTGGTCTAAACATAGGTTTCGGCATCGTCATTCGCTGCGCTGCCTTCGGAAGTTGCCGTGATTGCTTCTCCGAGTGTTGTGCGGGGAAGTGGCCGCACGGGCTTTTTTTAGAATGTATATAAAGTTTGCCGGATGGCGTAGAAAGATAATGCAGTTAGGTATTTTAAAGGTTGAGATTGTCAAAGCGCGCGGCGAGCCCCGAGCATAATATTATCTCTTCGCCTCCAATGAGAGGGCAGCATTCGCCGATAAGAACGACAGAGAAGAAATTACCATGCAAAAATCGTGAAGGTAATATATCACGCCGTGCATTTTTAACTCTGACAGTCAACACAAATACAAAAGTGTCACTTCTGGAAGGTTCTACGTTACAAACCAACGAAGGGCTTCTGACACCCCCCCCGCGAAGGAATAAGGATAAATTTCGACCACCCGGGGATCTTCTGACGTGCAACCGAAGTCTCGGTTACATGGCGCCTTCTCCGTAATAAGCCTCCGTCAGATCGCGGGAACCACGACAGGGAATCGAAACCGCCCCCTGGGGATCTACAGGCTGGGGTTCGCCTCGGAGCGGCCGAGGTGGCTGAATAAAAAAATAGCTTGACTTTTGCTATTTTTAATGAAGGATTTTAATAAATATTTGAACTTTAGTCAGTGATAGTGATTGGAGGGCATCAATTCGTAATTCAGTAACATAACGCAGTATTTGAAGGCACGACTCCAAGCGCGATTGTTTAACACACTTAAAATAGTGGTTAAACAATCCCAGCAGCGGGCATCTACTTTTCGGCTCGTTCTAAATCTTTGAATTACTTTACAGCTTTTTATAATCTGTAAGCTTATAAGCGTCACACACATGAGCATGATAAAAATCATATTTATAATAAACTAAATTATTCTTCAATCTGTGGTATAATCCTAAAGCGGCATCACAGTGCGTATACATCATAAAAAGAACAGTCTACAAGCAGATTCGAACTCTAGTCATCCCGAGATCCGTTCTTCAAATGCCGCATGGCAACGACTACAGTGAGCGATTTGGCACGCTTCATTCGAACCACGGATGTCGCGGTGACTGATGTCTGCAAACAGTCTGTTGTATGGTGTAGAAGCAGTGTGACCCCGGCTTAACGATCCAAAAAGTACAGATGGGCGATTTTTATAGAAGTTTTATCAGAAACCAGTGTGTCGCCAGATTTCTATATAAACTGTGCATCGCCGTACTTCTTTCTTTTAGTCGAGGGATTCACTTGACTGTTTGCCTGGGACTTCACCTTTACAATTCTAGTCGTGATTGAAAGGTCAGCCGCCGGTGCTGCAGTTTCGGTGCTCAAAATTGCTTACTCAGCGTGTTATACTTTACCGCAGTTGCGGCTCATTGCAGAATGACATGAACAGATCGAAGCAATAAGGTATACGCAAAATCAGCTAGAACCTACTTCCGATCTCAGGCCGTACGTATTGCGAAGAGATGGCGGATAATCTTCCAAGCTTAAGAAATTCATCCCTAAGCCGTTCGGGTATCACCGTAGGGACATACTTAAAAAAAGGTACCCACCATGTAAGAAAAACGTTACAGTAGCCCAGTTGATGCTCGGTGCATACGCTGAAGCAATCATGCCGGCCCAGACCAAAACGCTGCCGGCCACGCCCATTTTGTAAACACAGAACCAACGCTGTACCAGTCCAACAACAATTCCTGCACACAATCAGATTCTTTAGGAGTGAAAAGACGTAAAATCGACGCGTTCTGAGAGCACTCGGCATTTGCTCGTATAGAGTTCGCTCAGTTAATGAAAACATGCTCGCGTCTACTTTCTTCCGAACTAGGTGGGAAGAATATCGTTCTTAATATACGAATAAAATAATTTCTGAAACATTAATTCCATCTTTTGGGGCGTGCCGCCTGAATTTGTTCGCTCAAAAGTCATTGGATACTGGGAAAGTAGCCTTCCTAGCCTGCTCTCAGAACACAGAAACTAACATACAGATGACAAAAACCTCGCAAAGCAATTTGGAGCGCAAGTTCGCCTGCTTCTTGCACAGGGCTTATGAAGATGCCTATGATTGAAAAAAAAAAACGAATAGTGGGTATAACGTAAGGCAAATATTGTAAAACCCTTTATCTTTGCTGCCTCTATTTTTCGCGAATCGGGCAAAGAGGACATAATCGCGGTCACAAAATTGCGCGAATTCCAAACGCCTGGATTGAAAACCTTAAGGTCCGAAATTTTTGCGTGCCCCCACAATTTCGCGAATATTTCAATTCGCACAATTCTCGAAAATAAGGGCTCGCGAGATTTAAGGATTCTAGAGTTGCATTGCTCTCTACCCAATATCCTTTGAATAAAAGCCAATCATAGCTCGGTGTCGTTCTGACGTTCCCGCAACTCCTGCGTAAGAAGCAAATGACTTGATCTTTGATCTCCGCATTGGTTGATCGGTATTTGTCGCCATGGCAATCGTCACCTCGGTCTTTTGAAATCTTTGAAGTTTCAAAAGGGTCGTTCTAATGTAATGTTTGGAGGTGGGCTAGTCGGTGATGCATTGTAAACATAGAAATAAAACAGCGCAAACGAACACAAGGACAAGTAGACAAGTTCGTTTGCGCTGTTTTATTTCTATGTTTACAAAGGGTCGTTCTAAACCAGCCGTGTCAAGAGCTCTTTTAAGCGTCACCGTACTGAGAGCGTTTCTAGCAAGTATAAACGTTTTTGGCATTGTGCATGCAATAAATCTAAAAAATCATGATTATTTCCACAGATATCTTACAATTATAATGTTCTTTCTGCTCGTTCGAAAGCAGAAAGAAAATTTTATTGCCACCCAGCATCAACATTGGATATGGTGGAAAAACCTACATGTGAGCTTGTTCGCGGGTGTGTGAAAAACAAAATCTTGACTTACACTTCATATCTTTATAAAGCAAAATTTTCACCAATAAGGATCGGCTCGCCAATAATGTATAAGTAAAAGAGAAACTGCTCAATCAATGGGCCACAATGGCGGCCATACGGGGCCTCGGCGCTCAGGATGAAGTCACTTTAGCTCCATTGATCCAGATTTTGATGGAGGCTCACCCTTTAAGCTTCAGTGTGGCTTAGATGTTCGTTATCATCTATCCAAAAACAGCCGGACTTAATTGGTCCATCTAAGCTATAAGTTCTTCAGCGCTTCACATAACATTCATCGTGGTTACACAATGACATAAGTGCAAAGGGTTAGAAATAATTAAGAACACAGAGTTAATGTGTTACAGTAAAACCAAGTTTGTAGCTCGTAAAAAAAAGAGGGACGTTTTCACACATATAGAGCATACGCAGAAGCAAAGCATCCTCTATACTGACAAAGCCTGGCAGATCGCGATGAGACGCAGCCGCCGAAAGTGAGAAGGTAGAGCGGCCGAACAACGGATGAGAGGAGAGTCATGTAACGGGCGCCCCACTGCAACGAGACGCCCAACCACACTTCTGCCGAGCGATGGAATGTCCACTCGTGCTCCTCGTGTTCCTCGCGCGTCCTTGCCGCTGCAAAATCTGTGCGCTCACTACCAGCTTCCCCCACGGCTCTGGCTTCCCCGAGAAATGCCCTGTGCTACCAGATCCTCGCGCTCCAAATCTGCGACCGGGCGCTCGATGGCTCCGTCGTCGAAGTGCCAGGCTTTGTGAATATAGAGAAGGCTATGGCAGCACTTACCTGCCGCATGAATGGCTGCGCCCAGGGCACTCGAAGGCCACGAGGCCAATTCTCGCTCAATGCCGAACTCTTCCATGAAGCCCACGTAAATGAATCCCGAATTTTTCAGGGCCACTGTCGTTACAAGCGCTGTTAGGAAGGTTATAATTGCCACGTGCCAGCTGTTGTCCACTCCGTTTTTCTTCATGGTTTTGCTCTTCCTTTGCTCTTCCTGTTTAGAAATAAAATTTCAAACGTTAACATTCGAGTAACGCGTCAACAATGTATATAAGATATTTTCGACGGAACGAGTCTGAAGCATTGTTTATTGGCAAGTACATTTTCACATTAAGTTTTATTTATTTATTTATTTATTTACGCATTAATTTTCAGATACTGCTACCTTCTCACGGAAGGCATCCTAGAACTGGGTAAAGGTGCAATATAAGATATATTAGTGCGACAAACTTTTCCACACTTGTACTCACAAGAAACCACACTTCGCAGTTCACAGAATGCTAACACATCAAAAAGTGGCAACAATAGCAAGAGAAGGCTCGGTCAGAAGTTATCACCTACCGCACACACGCGCACACACAGGCACATGTGCAATGCCAAAAGCAAACGAAAAGCAGCAACATAGACGCAGTGAAAAAATGACACATTAGTCACAAGTAAACATGATAATACAAGATTTTATATCACAATAACATGGGGTTAATTTATGCGATGAAAAGAGCGAAACTTTAAATGGTTGTGAAGAAGCTGCACTTAAAGTTAGAATAGGTAATTCATTCTACTCTTTTACGGTGTTAGGAAAAAATAAAATTTTGAAGCAGTCGTTATGGCACTGATATTCTGCATGTGATAAGCTATGATAGCTTTTGTGCTTCTCGCGTATTTTAGAGTTACATGGAGTGACTTTTGTATTCTAAAGCCATCATTGATCACTGTGTATGACAAAGTGAGTCTATGAAGGTGCTGGATGTCTGCTATACCATAGGAGTACTCACGAAATCTAGCCTTTTATATTTGCTGTAAATTAATCTAAGGGGTTTCTTTTGTATTCTTTCGAGTTTGTTTATACTTGATGACGTGTGAGGATCCAAAATAATATAGGCATATTTTAAGAGGGGCCTTACGAGTGTTTTTTAAGCTGTTTGTTTTGTTGCTCATGTAGATTGTCTTGGGGTACGTCTAAAATAACAAAGTTTGAACATCGCTCTCTGCCAGAGCAAGTCATTGTAAGCATTCCATTTGAGGTCAAAAGTACTAGTGACACCAAGGCACTTGCCATGTCTGGCACCAATTGCCGATTTCGGTCAGCCTCAGATTTACATCAGCTGGGTCTGCGTCGTCTTTGATTTCGGAAAATATTGTCACGGGTGGTGACCAAACAAAAAACAGGAAATAAACAGAAAGAAATAAACGTTTAATGTGGCGAACTTGTGCCAAAAAAATAAACGAGTACAAAAGATAATAACAGAGCGTCGCGGGCGTCGAAATCGGCGTAGCAACAGAGTCGAACGCTGTGCGAAACTGACTGCGGCTCGCCACGCGGAGCCCCTTATGTACTATCGGGGAAAAATGAAACGCGAACGGAGGAGCGCGTGGCTCGCGGTACAGGCTGCGCCGCCTGGAAGTGAGCCCAGGAGCGAGGGTGCGTGGCCTACTTCGATGTGTTCACGCTCCTCGATTGGCGCTCCCCCAGCTTCGGCAGTGCACCTCTCAGTGCGCTGAAAGCTGTCACCGCTATCTTTGCCTCCTCGGCGAGTGCGGCGAGCTTCTTTGCACCGCATGCGCTGAGCCAGCAAAGATAGCGGTGATAGCTTTCAGCGCAGTAAGAGGCGCACTGCTGAAGCTTGGGGAGCGCAGAGAGAGGGGCGTGAACACGTCGGAGTAGGCCACGCACCCTCGCTCCTAGGCTCAATTCCAGGCGGCGCAGCCTGTACCGCGAGCCACGCGCTCCTCTGTTCGCGTTTCATTTTTCCCCGATAGTACATGCGTGGTCTTCGGGAATAATCGGCGTAGAAACTTCGACGCGTAGAACATTCGGGCCTGGAACAAGCAACATGATTCTCGAATTCTCCAGAACACTAAGTTACAGGAATAAACAAAAGACACGTCGCTCCCAGGATTCGAACCCTAGCTTTTCGCGTGGGAGCCAGGCGCGATAACCTTTAGGCCACGCGCGCGCTGCCTACTTGGCCAGCGCGCGCGGCATTACTCCCCCCTTTAAAAAGTGCATCGCCCCGATGCAGCACAAAACAAAACAAAGCAAACAGAAAGAACGGTAAACTAAAGAGTCATTTGGAATACGTAAGGTCCACTGTCCTATCGAGCGTAGTACGGCTTCATGCGCACGACGTGGACGACTTCTGGTCGTGAAGGGCGGCGTGATGAAGTCCGTGTTCCATCGGGCATCACCTCGTAGTTCAGCTCGCCGAGGCGACGAAGTACCTTGTATGGTCCAAAGTACCGTTTCAGCAGTTTCTCACTGAGGCCGCGGCGACGGATGGGCGTCCACACCCACACCCTGTCTCCGGGCTGGAAGTGAACGTCCCTGCGACGAAGGTTGTAGCGGCCCGTGTCGACGCGTTGCTGGTCTTGAATCATGAGTCGGGCGAGCTGGCGGACTTCTTCGGCGCGTTGAGCAACCGCCTGGGCGTCGTCCAGTGGTCTCCTGAACCGCCGTATTGTAGCCGAACGTGACGTAGGGCAACACCTCGTCTCACGTCTTGTGCTCTACGTCGACGTACATAGAGATCATATCGGCGATTGTCTTGTTGAGTCGCTCGGTCAGTCCGTTGGTCTGCGGGTGGTATGCAGTGGTTCGACGATGGCCGGTGCCACTGAGACGAAGGATCTCTTGCGTCAGCTGGGCCATGAACGAAGATCCGCGATCTGTAATCAGAATTTCGGGAGCGCCGTGCCGGAGGACGATGGACTCGATGAAAAACTTGGCGACTTCCACAGCAGTCCCTGAAGGAAGAGCTTTCGTTTCGGCGTACCGCGTGAGATAATCTGTGGCGACGATGATCCAGCGGTTCCCCCGACGTCGAAGGCGGAAAAGGACCAAGCAGATCCATTCCGATCTGCTGGAAGGGTGTAGTTGGAGGAGAAATGGGCTGCAGAAGTCCGGCCGGCCTCGTCGGCGGTTTCTTGCGTCGCTGGCACTCGTGGCATGATCGTGTGTATAGGTGGACGGTCTTGGGGAGCTTCGGCCAGTAATACTTTTCACGAATACGGGCCAGTGTCCGGCTGTAACCAAGGTGTCCAGATGTCGGGTCGTCGTGGCAGGCTTGGAAGATCTCCTCTCGAAGGTCACTCCGGATTACCAGCAGCCAAGGTGTGTTGTTGTTGCCGAAGTTCTCTTTGTAGAGTACACCTTGTCGGATGGCGAAGGTCGGCAGTACTCGTGAGAAGACACGTGGCACGGTACTCCTGCCCCCTTCCAGGTGCTCGATTAATGCGCGCAGCTCAGGATCGTCCCGTTGACGTCGTGCCATATCGTCGGTGTTCACTGCTCCTAGAAAGCACTCGTCATCATTGTCGTCGCTGCAGCCGGAAGGGGTTTCGACGGGGGCTCTGGACAGGCAGTCGGCGTCGCTGTGCTTGCGGCCTGACTTATAGACCACTGTCATGTTGAACTCTTGTAGTCGAAGACTCCATCGAGCGAGGCGTCCTGACGGGTCCTTCAGCTTCGCAAGCCAGCAGAGCGAGTGGTGGTCCATGACTACACGAAACGGGCTGCCGTACAAGTACGGACGAAACTTCGTTATTGCCCAGACGACCGCAAGGCATTCTTTCTCAGTTGTGGAGTAATTTTTCTCCGCCTTGGACAATGTCCGACTTGCGTAGGCGATGACTCGCTCGATGCCTTCTTGCACTTGGACTAGTACTGCGCCCAGTCCCGCGTTACTTGCGTCCGTGTGAATTTCTGTTTCCGCATCCTGGTCGAAATGTCCAAGCACAGGAGGAGTCTGGAGTCGTCGTTTCAGTTCGTCGAATGCCTGCTGTTGCTCCTCGGCCCATTCGAACTTCTTGGCGTCCTTCGTGAGATTCGTAAGTGGTGCGGAAATCCTTGCGAAATCCCGAACGAAGCGTCGATAATAGGCACAAAGTCCAAGGAATCTTCGCACGGCCTTCTTATCCGTCGGCGCTGGAAATGCCGCGACGGCGCGAGTCTTCTCGGGGTCTGGGCGGACGCCTTCGTTACTAACCACGTGGCCAAGGAACTTTAGTTCGTCATAGGCGAACCGGCACTTTGACGGCTTGAGTGTGAGTCCGGCGGTCTGAATGGCTTGAAGAACAGCTCGGAGTCGTCTCAAATGCTCGTCGAAGTCAGCTGAAAATACTACGACGTCGTCAAGGTAGACGAGACAACTCTGCCACTTCAGCCCTGCCAGTACGGTGTCCATGACACGCTGGAAAGTTGCTGGCGCCGTGCATAGTCCGAAGGGCATCACCTTGAACTCGTACAGTCCATCCGGCGTGACGAAGGCTGTCTTCTCTCGGTCCCGTTCGTCGACCTCGATTTGCCAGTAGCCGCTCTTCAGGTCCATCGATGAAAAGTATCGAGAGTGGCGCAGCCGGTCTAGAGTGTCGTCGATGCGGGGGGAGTGGGTAGACGTCTTTCTTCGTAACCGTGTTGAGCTGCCGGTAGTCCACGCAGAACCGAAGAGTTCCGTCCTTCTTCTTAACCAGCACGACTGGAGAGGCCCATGGACTGCTTGAAGGTTGGATTATGTCGTCATTCAGCATCCCTTGAACTTGCTGATGGATCACCTCCCTTTCCTTAGCGGAGACTCTGTACGGCGATCGATGCACAGGGCGCGCGTCGTCCTCAGTAACGATGCGGTGCTTGGCAACCGCGGTCTGGCGCACCTTCGACGACGTCGCAAAGCAGTCGCGGTATTCGGCGAGGAGGTTAACCAGCTGACGCCGTTTAGGGTCCGGAAGCTTAGGGTCAATGTCGAGCTGCGCTGGCGACGTACTGTCTTGCTGGGGCGGCGAGGATTCGTCAGTGATCGCAGTGATTTCGACGGGGTTTCGGAGTTTCTCGACGTGGCCCACGGCTGCACCTTTCGTGAGGTGTTGCGTTTCGTTTCGGAAGTTCGTCACGAGGGCCACAGTCCGCCCATCCTGAAGTTCCGCTACTTTCCTTGCGACGCCTATGCCTCTTCCCAGGAGCAATTGCAGGCTTCCCTCGAGAAGAACTTCGCCACAGGA